CTGAATCACTAAACAAATCAGACTGACATTTGTTTTCGAGTGTCCGTTCTCTCTTCACTAGACTGCACTTAAGGAAGGACACTCATGGGAACAAATGCTCCAGAACACCAAATATGCCATTCACTATACAGCAACACTATGCAGACAACCAACCTGTTTTTCAGTAAATGCTCCAGTCTGTAAGGTTAAGTGACTATACCTCCAATCTCACAAAATAAAAACCGTATCATTTTAATGCAAACAGTACCAAAGTTTTTGTTTAAAAGACCTTGGAATACTATGTACACTATAATATTACTACAATATTTAGGGATTACTTAATGTTTTTGACAGAAAAAGTCTATATTTAATAAAAAAATACAGTAAAAATGTAAATTAGTAACATAAAGTAACAAATTATAAAGTATTACTATTTAAAAGTACTGTTTCCCATTTTAATATATTTAAAAAATGCAATTTACTTCTGTGAAGTCAAAGCTGACTTTTCAGCAGCCATTACTCACTTAATATTGTTGTGGAAACCATTAAACTTTTTTTTCTCCAGGATTCACTGATGAATAGGACAGCATTCAAAAGAACAGCATTTATTTGAAATAGAAATATTTTTTCAAACATTACAGATGTCTTTACTGTCACATTTGTGACCCTGGACCACAAAACCAGTCTTAAAGGAACACTCCACTATTTTTGAAAATAGGCTCATTTTCCAACTCCCCTAGAGTTAAACAGTTGAGTTTTACTGTTTTCTAATCCATTCAGCCGATCTCCGGGTCTGGCGGTAGCACCTTTAGCTGTAGCTTAGCATAGATCATTGAATCTGATTAGACCATTAGACCAAAACTCAACTGTATAACTCTAGGGGAGTTGGAAAATGTGCCTATTCTCAAAAATAGTGGAGTGTTCCTTTAAGTCGCTGGGGTATACATTGTATGGGTCAAAATTATAGATTTTTCTTTTATGCCAACAGGTGCTTCACAGAAGATGCTATGTGGACTGCAGATGGACATTACTGCTTAGTTTCTTTAAGAGACATTTCACTCAATGTTACATTTTCTTAAAATTAAAACCCCTTTTCTCGCTCATCAATAGATTGTAGTAATCACAACCCCAAAAAGGACAAAAGAGACCATTAAAGGGCAACAACAGTAGTCTCATGCACTTTATACCAAGACTTCTAAAGATAGATGAGCCTTGTATGGCACAGTGCTACATAAAGTTTCTTAAAAATTCTTCAAAAAAGATGCATGACACATTTAGAATGGCAAGTTTGAGACGAAGTGTCTTCCCTTATCTCTGCATAGCCTTCATACTAGTCCACTTGCCCTCATGCTAGTCCACAGTCCTGATAAGCAGGGTTATTGAGATTGTGAGCACACTCAGTTGAACAGAAGCATAGCTTAATTAAAGCTTGCTGCTCCCAGGAGACCCAGGATTCCCTGACATCTATCTATCTACTCATAGGAACACACCAACTCTCTCTCTAGCTTTAAATATAAAAACATACTTCTCTATAGGGAAGTTAAAATGTTACTTAATGTTTCAACAATAGGAAACACACCAATTGAACATTTTGAAAAATAAGGGAAATGAAAACAGAGAGACTTTAAAGTGTAATTCAAATAAAATGAGCTAATGCGTTCACTTTTAAAGTCTGAAATCAGAATAAGAAGCATTCTGATTCACATAAAGTACATTTCCTGTGTGATTCACTGATTATTTGGGGGTGGTAATGAACAAGAAAGGTCATAACTCAGTCGTTAACTTTCCATAGGCAACAAAAAACAAGTAAACAGGGTTAACTAGCTTTCCACAAGCAATTACGGATGTTTACGAGCAGTGTCCCATCATTAATTACATTTAACAAAATATTAAATTTCCCATGTGAAATGCCTGTTTGTGTACCAGGGTGATTTCTATTGAAATAAACAGGCTGATCTCAAAAAGATCTGTTAAAGCTTTGACTGTATTATAATAACAATCACTGAGTCAATGTATGTACGACAAACAGATTTCAGTGAAAAGACTATGAGGGGTCTCTTTGGAGCCCTGTGTTGATGATAACAACAGGTATTGTTTTGTTTGTTGTGTCAACTGTGTGTAGTACACTAAACCGCACACCTGCGCGCACATCTTCAGCACTGCGACCTTCCCATGAGCAGGTGACCGAGGACAATGTAATTTGTGTCATGCCGGAAGTTGTCATATACGATCGAAAATTTAATGCATCGTTGCTATATAAAAGTATAAAATTCTTTACAAACAATCTTACACTTTAATCTTAAACTTCTGAACAGTAGTGTAAATACCATGGTATATGGAAATGGTATTCTGCATTGATATATTCTGATAATATTCCGATTTTTTGCTAAAAAGGGCACTTCCATGAAACTAAATATCTTACATATTAGATAAACTCATTACAAAAAAGTACATTAAAGCCAATTTTATTTGATAAATTATGCCTGGTATCAAAATCTGCATTCAAATAGCTCATTAAGGACTACAGACCGTCCCTTTGGTCTTGCACACTTACCCCCAAAATCCGTCACTTTACAGTACGTCTTTGATATATAGGCGTCATATTAGAACCTCTAATCTATTGAGAAATACGGGAATTTTATACATAAGGGTTAAAATTAAGAAACAGGACTCGATGCCATCACAAATCAAAGTTAGATCGACGTAAATAATTTAGCAATAGACATAAATTCAGATACACTACAACCGCAACACATTCAAGAGACTGAATGCAAGATGCAGCTGGCCCCATGAGAAGAACCATCCATTAAAACTATGAAACATCTGCAACGACGAATGGACTAAAAATACAGTGAATAAAAAAAACCTATCACATGTAATGATGTACAAAGTTTCTATTTTTGGCGACAAGATCCAACATCCTCAGTCTAGGATCAGGATGTGTGAGATAAGGAAAAAAAATCTATCTATAGTGTTTTTTTATGTTTTTTTCCCCTTTTCTGTCTTATTCAGCGGCTGTTGTGTTGGAAATCGACGTTATTGTGGCTCCTGGCAGTTTAGAAACATGGAGCCATTTTAAATGGAATTACATTGTTCGCCGTAGAGAAGATAACCAACACTATCACTCTAAATTATGTCACATAATTCCCATCGGCTTTATTTATATTCCTAGAACAAATCGTACTAGTTTAGTTCTAAAATGAGGTATTTAACTCACCAGTCAGTCTTGAGGTACAATATCTGAATCTGACCAAGGAAAATCCTCCACAAAGGTGTTGAAGTGAACGGAGGCTACTGGAAAGGTTCGTCGTCCGCACGTTTCTGTGCTCGCAGTCCCTGCCAGCCGTGTTTTGATGTCACTCGGTGGGCGGGGTCTTATGGGCGGCCCACATTACACTCGACGCGTTTGGAAGACCCCCTCATCCGCGCTTTATCGCCCTCGTGAGGTTATCTATGATATCAAGTCACGTCAAGTCATGTTTATATTATACCGGTATATATATATAATTTTTTTTTTTCAAATATTTTCCCTTGTGTGTGTGTAAATATACTTGGCAACAAAGCAAATTCTGATTCTAAATAAAATCACACAGCAGACCAGGTATACACATACTGTATACAGTATACATACAACGTGCTTTTATTGTAACAAGCCAATCTCCATCATAATGCAATATAAAGGGGGAATACTGTTTTACATTCATACCGTTTTGGAAAGACATTAAGTTGTGTACATAATGACAGAATTTGTATATATTCATTAAATGCTAATCAAGATAATAGCCAATATGCATATATTTAATATTTCATTGAGTAATTAGAATTCCAATACTGAAATGCATTCGGAATGAAAAATTCAGTATTTCCGAGCTCTGGAATAAAGTTTTGCTTTTAGACAAACAGCCATGTGGGTCAGATCATGTTTGTAAATAATCTAAGATTTTATGGCTAATCCATAGGAAGTGTTGACATTGATCACATTTGCTGCATAAAGGTTAAAGGAATAGCAGACTACTGATGATTACAGTAATTATATTCACAGTTGTTCAGAAATAAATATGCAATATTCAAAAAACATTTTAACATTCTAAAAATGAGATCCTTTAAATACAATGTAAAACACAAACAACTGTTCCATTTCATATTTTACTTCAAACCCAACCTCTTAAATAGAGGTTAAAGGGGACATCGGATGACTTTTTTTTTTTTTTTTGCATTTAGTTAGGTTCCTGGCAAGTCTGCAAGCTCAGAAAAGTTGAAAAGAAAACACCCAGCCAGTTTGTTATGAGCTGTCTGAGTCTGAAACCGTGTCAACCAGCGAGCTGTTTCAATTTGCAGCCAGTTTCTACGTAGATAGCTAGCTATTTGTATAAGAGCACCTCCGAGCCATTTACAGAGTCTGAGGTAGCGATTCACACAGAAGAGAGGGGTGAGGTGAGCAGTAGCTTGCTATCATTTGATGAGACATACACCGAAACGGGTTGGTGTCAACAGAACTGTTTTGGACAAGGTAAAAAGGGTGTTGTTTTACACGACCATTGAGGAATTTTAACCAAAGTATGTTACAGACATTTCATAAAGACCCTAAAGGATCATACCAACTTGTGGAAAATGGGTATCTGATGTCCCTTTTAAGGATTACCAGCCTTTTAAAGAGCACAGGATGGATCCGTTTTTGACTCTTCAAGTAGGCTTTCAGCTTAAACATAACTCTAAATAACCAAAAATCTCTGGAAAGAAAAAAAATATGTTTTCTGGTATTTGCCAATTTCCTAATGACTTAAGAGTTAAAATATTAGAATATGGTGCATGCTGTGCATTGTTAAATGACAAAGACATGTCTTGTAAACGTTTTAGCAATGTATTTTGTTGTATGTTTCCTTTTGGTGAAACAGAAAGGATGAAAAGTAGATTACATTTGTTGTGAAAAGGACAAGTGAGGTGATCAAAGTTTTGAAAAATTCAGTCTTAATTCCACTTCCACAGTCCGAATCACAGACTCTGTAATAACAAACAGCATGTTCAGTTTCACATGTTCTCAGTTTATTCTTTATGCTCTTTGGTTCGTGGCCTGGTTTAGGAATGTATCAAGCTGAGGTAGTCCTGTGATGGTAGTAAAATATGCCCTGGCGCCCTCATGTGGCACAAGTCAGAGCGATCTGCTGCACCTTTCCCATTTCATTCAGCAGCTGTTTGATGCTGTGCTTGAGTTCAGGCAGACGGTCCAGCGGCTCTGGAGGCTCCAGCTCACCCGTGCAGTCCAGCCAGTTTTCAAGCACTGAAAAAGGAACAGTTGTTAGGAATTAATATATAGCCATAGTACACATGAAACATTCCCATAATACAAATCACCGCATGAAAAATAGTGAAACATAAATCCAGCCCTCTGAAACCCTCTGGCACACCATCAAGCTCCCTTTCGATGAAGTCCATCCTGTGAGTAACCTCTTCTTGTACAGTCTCGATATGCTCCAGCAGGTTGATCCTCCACTGCTGCTGCTGAGCTCCGCCCTTAACCCCGCCTCCATCAGAACCCGCCTCACACTTCTCTCCTGAGTCCTACATGAAATAAAGTAACATTCACCAGGCAGTCACCACAGCATCAAACAGTCAGTCTTCACTAACGTTCAAAAGTTTGGGGTTGGTAAGAGTTTTGCATGTAAGATTGTTGAAAGTGTTATGCTCACCAAGGTTGCAATTACTACAATTTAAAATAAGTCATATGTTTTAAAAAGGGAGTTTATTCCTGTGATGGCAAAGCTGAATTTTCAGCAGCTATTACTCCAGTCTTCAGTGTCACATGATCCTTCAGAAATCATTCTAACATACCAATTTGGTGCTCAAGAGACATTTCTTATCATTATCAATGTTAAAAACAGTTTTGCTGCTTACTATTATGGAAACCGTAATACTTTTTTTTAGGATTCTTTGATCAACGATAGTAAAAAAAAAACAGTGTTAATTTGAAACGGAAATCTTAACATTATAAATGTTAATAGATCGATTTAATATATCCTAGCTGTCTTCACTGGTACTTTTGATCAATTTAATGTGTAATTGCTGAATAAAAATATTAATATCTTGAACAGACACATTGTAAAGTACACTTCAAGTACAAAATTAGCTGTAAATCATTAAAGGAATAGCGAAAAATAAATCCTCAATGACGATTGGTCATTTCATTTTGACATCAAACCTGCTCTGTCTAAATGAGCCATATTTTAATGGATGCAGACTTTTACATTTCCATCTGGTCATCACACAAAACTCTAGATTTTAAATTTTGATGGACCATTTTTATGATACTTTTATTGTACATTTCTGTCATTTTGGAGCTTAACAACAGCACATATCCCCATTCACTTTCATTACACAGAGACAAAAATGGCATATTTCTATTCAAAACATTTTTTTTAGATATACTATTCCTTTGGATTTGACCATTATAAATATATTTCACAGTATTGGTCAGTGATAATAACGTCATATTAACCTCATTTGATGTGACCCTTACCTTGCTGTGGTTCAAGAGCGGAGTACTAGATGTCTTCAGTAGTGCTGGTTGGATCTCTCCATTATAGTGTTGTTCATTCTTCAGCACTGTCTCAGTGTTGTGCAATCTGTCTTCCAGCACCGACTCCACCCGTGTCTTCAGCACCAGCCTCGGCTCCAATACCTGGTACAGTGTTTGTGGCTTTTGGTAGCAATGCTCACTGCTAATGTAGTCCTGGAAGGATGAAGTCAAGGGTTCTTTACGTTGAATGGCTTCTAAGGATGCTGATGCAGAAACTGTTTTTGTGTCTGGAAGAGCCATGCTTTTCATCCTGGATTTCTCAGTCAATTTCCATGGCTGCCGCCACAACTTGAGGTCTGGGTGACTTTGGCTGCTGTAGTAAAATGGTATTACACCCTTTTCGTGAGGCCTTTCAAATAACAATTGCCTTATGGGTTCAAACAGAGATAAAGCAGGATCACTCACTGTAGCACGCTGATTTTGAGCTGCAGGCCATTGAGGACTTCCACCACATGCTGAACGTCCCCTAACAGCTGATGAGTGGCTGCAATCTTCTTGCCGTTCTTATGGGAGTAGTTCTCCAGGAAAGAGAGGCCATACATATGGCCGGTGCTAAGCCAGTCCCTGTCATACCAGTACCGCAGGCTCTGTCTCTGACCTCTGATCTGCCCTGGATACACACAAACAAATACACCGGTAAGCTGAAATTAAACTGAAAATGATGTAGACTTCCCAGCATGAAAATAGGAACTGACAAAAAGCTGAGTCACTCAAAGTGCTACTCAACCTGAGGTCTACATTAGGGTTACACTCAGAAATGAACACTAAAACATGCATCACTTCCAAACCTGGAGGATCCCGGCAAATGAAGCAAACGTATCGTTCTGGAACATTCTCTTCCAGGAGGCCCATACAGGTTCCATGCTGCCAGTACAGACACTCTTCACACTGAGGTGCAAGAGAACAAGCAACAAACATGATGGTTGTTAATTAAGAGTGAAAAATGTGCAGCTAAATCTACTGTATTTACATTACTGTTCCAAACTATTGGGTGGGTAAGATTTTTCAGTGTTTTTCCAAAGTCTCCAAAAATCAGTAATATTATTAAATATTATTACAATTTAAACGGTTTTCTTTTTAAATATATTTAAAAATGTAATTTATTCTTGTGATGGCAAGCTGAATTTTTCAGCATCATTACTTCAATCTTTGGTGTCACAGGATCCTTCAGAAATCATTTTGATATGCTGACTTGGTGTTCAAGAAACATTTCCTGTTATTATCAATGTTTATAGAATATAATTCCTAGTATATATATATTTTTTTTTTCATTTTAAAAAGACCAATTTAATGCATGCTTGCTGAATAAAAGTATTCCTATCTTTAACAAAAATACTGACCCCTAACATTTGAATGGTATTGTACAGGCCAAATTAATGATCACCTGTAACATGAAGTCATTTTCCTCTTCCACTTCACACACACAGCGGACAGTTTCCTGACTTCCTGTAGTCGAGGCAAGAGAGCTACAGCTGAGAGGTGAGGCAATGATGTCCAAATCTGCCCCCATTTCATCTTCACTCCATCCACAGCTGTCAGAGGGCCAGTCAGAAATGCTATCCTCATCTGGAAACATATGACAAAAAATGACTTGAGATATGAGGGCGGGAAAAAATCAGATATAAAGAAACAAAGATTCGTCATCACTCAGAAAACAGCGCTTCAATAACACATTGCAATTGTGGGTAAATACATGCCGATTTTCTTCACCTGATGTGGTTTTTCTCATCTTTTTCTTTTCCTTCAACTTTATTCGCAGGAAGTCTCTAGTCTGTTTTTCTTTTAGCTTGTCACGTTCCTTCACACCTTCTACAAAGGAAAGAAACCCAAGCTTACTTATATCATGTCATGTATCAAAGAAAAATAAGGAATAACACTATAAATCCCACGTTTTCGGTGAAACACTATTTAAATTCTAGCCACCAGCCATACCCATTTGCATAAACCTCTTGTCTCTTTCCTTGTTGAAGTATCTATGCATGTTGCTGTCTAGCTGATTGTCTCTGGTCTTGTTCTTCAGTGAAGTCCACCGTTGGTAATTCTGTGTACTGACAACAGGGGGCACTAGAGAGCGTCTCTTCACAGTCATCGATGTAATGCACCTCTTCTTAGGGCTACCCTGATTATTAAGTGTGGTGTGTTTGTCCATTGCCCTGGTCTGGTCCAGTTCAATCAGACGATCATCTCCATGGTAGTACTTCATATGATAGTGCAGGAGTTTTGCTTTGCGGAAAGACTTCGTACAGCCAGGAGCGCTGCATTTATATGGATTATGGTCCAAGTTGATAGAGAGCACCGGTGGAGGCTGGTTTCTGATGACTCTGTATACTGAGATAATTAGATGGTACATTCACTGTCAATAACTCCAGATCATTGTGATGAATTATGATTCTGTGAATTTGATTAGTATAGATCATTACTCACATGGCTCTCTGCTGAATCGGTTAGGGTTGTGGAAAGCTTGTTTTCTGACTGCTAAGATGAAAAAAAAAACTGATCATAATAAACCAGGTGATATTTGAGCATATATGTGTTGTACAGATGTGATCTCACCTGTAGGCTTAAAGGTTTCTGATTGGCATTGAGCCTTAGGTACTGCGGTTTCATTGGATGATTGTGTTAGATGTAAGGGGTCTGATCCTTTCCCTTGATTGGTGGATGCAAATGTGGGCTTGCAATCATTATGGAAACTTTTTTCTGGAGGAAAGAGATCAATAATGATGAAATCTAACATTATGGCACCAGTAAACATATTTTTTTTATGTAACAATCAAAAAATCAAACCTTTTTTGGAGCCCCTTCTTGCCACTGAAAGTCTCCTCTTCCCTAGAAAAAGTACAATTAACATTTTATTTTACAGCTATCATGACAAAAACTCCACAATGTCAAGTAACAAAAATTAAAAACATTAACTTACTTTGTAATTATTTTGAACATTTGATAATTTTATAAAAATCAAATCATATTTTTTTAATAAAATGTAACATAATATATTATATAATACAATATATAATGTTTTACTATAGGGTCATTCCGTGTCAAATCAACCAAATTTCAGAAACTTCCCCAGCTCACATTTTTGATTTTGCTAATATTTTTCCTGAAGAAAGATAAACATATTGATGAAAGCCAAAATATTAAATGCCATGGACATATATTTACTGAGTAATCCACTATTTTGTAGAGGGGGGTCAAAATGGCCATTTTCTTCTGAATTCAGAGCCAAGTTACAGGGGGTAAAAATGACTTCAGAAAGATGGCAGCATCATAATGTTATTTTTACACAGAGATTGGTAGGTGTATTGGTAAAATCTGTTGACTTTAGCAATCTTTGTTGCAATATTTTTCTCCAGATTTGCATGCCTATAACTCATGAAATATTAAAGATTTCTTAATGCTCTTTTAAATATTGGGTCTTAACAAACTTTCCCTTTGGCATCTTCATTTTTAAGGCCCTATATGGTTCGGTTCCAGAGATATTGGGATCTCAATATGGCTCCAGGAGTAAATCGTTAAATTGTACACATTTCCAATGGTCAAAAACCAAATGTGGGTCACTTTTCATAAATCTGATACTTATTTTCTTCTAAAGGGGAATGTCTGAAGAACAAATAATGTTGAAACTAGTATTTTGTTTCTTTGTCAAAACAACTGCATTACATACATTTCTGAGTGCCATAAATATTCTTTTTCCACAGTTTGCGTGCCTATAACTAAGTATTATAAATCTCACTATATAA